ATACTTATTATCGAAAAATTTTATACTAAAGGAAATAATCACAATGATGAAGATACATAATTAATTTGGTTTGGGGATTAACATTAATAACATTTCCTAATTAAAACAAGACACAAAATACAGGCAAGAAAAAATAAAAATTAAAAGTTCCTACCTTCATTACAAAGTAATAAGAAAGAAATGTACTCCTTCAATGTCTTACTGAGAAATTAATATTTTATCCATTTACCTCAACAGCTCCACAACATTTCCAGAAATGAAGACTAGAAAAGGTAAGGATATCTACCTACACATTTTGCTTCACATGTCTGTAAGAAGAGTTCTATTTCCTTTTACGTGCCAAAATCTAGAGATGAAAAATTTATCTTCCTTTCCTAACTTACCATTTTTTCTGATTTAGCTTCAGTGTATCACCAGTTTTCTTAGCAATAACATTAATTTTTTCATTTTCGAATCTTACTCCATCTAACCTATGAAGAATAGATAAAAAGTAACAATTAATGGATATATTTCCCTGCCAAAATAAACAGGCAAGCATACAACAAAAAGCCAACAAATTATCTTACATCTAAACAAAATTGTATCTCCTAGAAAAGTATCTAAACAAACCCCACTCTGAGATAAATACTGTACTTTTTCTTCAATTTAATTAGAATTCAAAAATATATTAAATATCATTATTGACAAAAAACAAATCAAAGCCATGACACAAAGTCCTTCATTGTTTTTAAACAGAAGACTCTTCCCCTGCCCCCATTTCAAAAGTAAGGTTATACTGCCACAAGCAACATATTTAATAAATACCTTAAAAAAAGAGAGAGAATTCCAAAGACTCTGATTTATAATGTGACAGATATTGGCATTTTACATATGCTATATGACAAAACTATACCAACAATATGAGGTAAACATTATCCCTCCCATTTCATATACTGAGAAACTAAGGTTCAAGGATACTAACAGTTAATTTGTCCCAGCCAGTAACAATAGAGCTGAGACATATTAGTCTTTCTAACTACAAAGATCTTTCCAGCACATACTACCTGCCACTCCAGATCCCTATCTCACACACACACCACACACCATAGAGAATTCAAACCCACTAATGTCTTTCCTATCCTTTAACGTCCAGGGAGTACCACAGAAATAGCTCTGCCAGAAAATGGAGGAAGGACATATCAGTGTACCATCCCCAAAAATGGAGAAGGAAGGAGGACGGAAGGGAGGAAGGGGAAGGAAAGAAAAACAAAGAAGTAAAAATAGGGGAAAATTTTTAAAAGGAGGACTTAATGAGGTACAGGAACAGATATAAAGGAGGAATCGTACCTACTACTCAAATTACTGAAGCCAAATTTCTTTGCAACATTTTGCAACATTCTTACAGGATCATCTTCCCCAACACTTTTTCCTTTTTTACAGGATTTAGGTTTACTTTTCTGCCTTTCACTGAATGTATGAGCTTGATTATTCTTGTTAACTTCAAATGTTGATTTCTTATTATCATCTTCACAGCAATTCATTTTATTCAAATGAGAATTCAGAGTGCTCTGATACTCTTCTGGTTTTTTGTTTACGTGTATTCTTGGTTTGAAGCCATGAGTTAAAAAGTCACAAGTATCTGTGTATATAAATTGTAAAATGTATTCAAACAGGTCAGGATGAACCTTCTCTACCACAAAGAGATGGCATCCTGTAGAATCTTCATCCTTCCGGTAAACATCTGTAAATTCTGCAGTAGTACCATCTGAAAGAAACAATTTCTGAAAAAACTCAGAATGTACTGCCAAAATATATTTATGTGCAGGGAAGATTCTATTTCCAACTTGAAATGTCACATCATGGATACTGTCCATTTCATCCGTTCCCCTCAACAGTTTGCCAAACTCTTCAAAAAAGGATGATGACGACACAGATGGAATTTCATAAAGGCTAGAAACAAAACAAAAATAATTTATACTTTCAAAAAACCAGAAAAAAAAGTATACCTAGCCAATTCTCCTTTTAAAATGCAACATTTTATTATTTATAAAACTTAGAAAATTTTAAATTTGATATTTCCTAAAATATAAGAATACTGCAAAGTCTTAGATAACTGTATCATCCTTTTCATCCTTTTCAAATTCGTTTTTTTCTCTCAAACTAAAATGACAAGAATTAAGTTTTCCTTTAAAAGAAATGTTCTCTATTTCTACAAGGAAATGCTAGAAAAATATAAATTCAAATGGCCGTTTCACAGCAATTTTTTAAATAATTAAAAGTACAACTAAAAACATTCAAAAAAAGCATATTTCTCAACCTCTTCCTCTTTTACATCTTTTACAAGTGAAGAAAAACATACAGAGGACTGGGCAAATACTTCAGGTCCCAAATGCCAGCTTGGTCAGAAACTCAAGTAAAGATAAATAATCAGTCCATAACCCTTGTTCTTTCAGTACCATGGGAATTCGATTATTAATATACTTTCCCAACCAACATTTCACCATTCTCAACAGGGGGACTAAACCTCCTGGTTTGCCTTGGATGGAGGGGTTTCCTAGGAGATGAGACTTTCAATGCTAAAACTTGGGCAGACCTGGGCAAACAAGGATGGATGGTTACTTTACTTCTAGAACTTCTTCCCTCTTCAACGGTACCCTTGATGTTTACTTTAACATGGTATCTCTCTACTAAAATGACTTAGGCGATTTACACTGGGATTTATACTGCCCTAGAGACCACCTCTTCTCTTGTCACTTCTCATCATATTCAAGGGTCAAATATTTTTGCCAACTGTGGGAGAATATTTACAATACATTTTTTAGAATCTGAGAACATACAGTACATCATTAAGACCAATTTTGTGGCTGAATATATATATTTATATATATTATATACACATTCTCAATATTCTCAATAAATATCAGTTTATAAACTAAAGGGAACACGCATAATTGCCAGTGTAACAAATTCTACCTTTGGATTATCCTGGTACCATGATTACGTGTCTAAGAATCTCTATAGGACTTGGCAATAGCTTTTCAATTACACTTATACCAGGAGCTACTGAAAACAAAAGAAAACCCACTGATTGTTCCTCCTAAAAATGAAATTTAATATATATAAGTATACCTTGTTTTAGGATCTGACTGCAGGATTGCAAAGTTGCATCCACTTGGATCTGTGCTGACACTAACAGCTCTATGGGCAAAAGTAAGTTTCTCAAGTCGAATTCGTTCATATACACTATTTATATCAGAGACACAAGACACATCTGATGAGGAATTATGAAGGTTTGATAAAATATCTGCTAAAGAGAAAAAAAATATCATTAACCAAGGCTTTATAGAAACTATTAAAATGATCTGGGAATAAGTAGAATAGAAAAACAATTAGGAAAATAGGAAAACATCTTTTACGTATATTAAGTCCTTTTATAGAACTACATCCTCTCTTTCTTCAACACAACATTTTGCACGAAATTTATTTGTTGTACTATATAGGAAATTTTTGGTGCGTCAATTCTCAATAAGCCATGATTTTATCCCTTTCAACAAACACATCCTCCATACTGCAACCAATTACCTTCCTAAAAAGCAAATCTAGTGTCATACTAGCTTTTAAAATTCCTCAACTTCATTAAAAATATATAAATTTAGTACCCTCATAATCTTGTTTATTTGCTTCCTTTCTGCCTCTTCCCCTTTTCTTGCATTTATTCAGAAAATATCTGAGTAACTATGCTATACTACTGTGAGACACTGGTCATCAGTCTATTAATACAGTAGTGAACAACATAAACATGTCCCTACCCTTATGGAGGACAATTCTGCAAGAAAGACACACATCAAATGATTATATCACTATAAGTCAAATCAAGGCTATAAAAGCAAAATATATACTGTTTCCACATAGACAAGAAATGTGTGTATAAAGAAATGATTCTGGCTGTAGTGTGAAAAAATGTAAATAGTACAAAGAGGCCATTTAAGGAGTTACTCTAAGTTCAGAAAAAGAAAAAAGATGATACAGATTGAGGTTGTAGCAATGAATCTGGAGAAAAGTAGAAAGATTTAAGAAACATTTAGACAGAAGTAACAAACTTGGTGACTAATTGGATGTACAGGGTGAGGGAACCTGGGTGTCAGAGATAACCATTTACTAAAATAGAAAGCACTGAAAAGCAGTTGCGGAAGCATGAGATCATGGATTTAATTTCAGATTACTAAATATGACTAAGACATACTTCTAAGGACTTCCAATATTTACAAGTCAAACTTGAATTATGGTTACTCTCTCAAATTCACTTTGTAACAGTCTTAAGGGGCTTCACTAATCTTCCCCTGACACTCAGTTATTCCGATTTCTATGCTTTCAAGAAACTTAGTAAGTCCATATTAGCATTTGTCTCTGTGAATTTTAAATATTTACATATATGTTTATTGTCCCTACAAGCTTAGGAATGCCTGAGAACAGAGGCCCATCTTATATATTTTTGCATCATTAAAACCTTGCCCTATGTCTGGCAAAGAATAAATATGTCTTAAATGTTTACAGAGTTGAATAATTTATAAAGAAATAAAAGACATACAACAAATCAATAAATTATCCAAAAATCATTCCTTTGTGGCTTTATGATTTTGAAGAATAGTCTACAATTTTCTGAGTAACAGAAAATTATAATAGGATAGGCATTAAACAAATTAATCACAAAGATAAATACATAAATACATAAGGGTAAAACCTAATAATATTTGCCAAATTAAAGGTTAACTAAAAGGTACTTTTATGTGCCATCCACATATACAAACTGACCTTTCTTTTCAGAACTCTTCCTTTTTTCTTCAAACCATTTCCCTCTAAATCCTTCTCCATCCTGTGTGACAAACAGAATTTCATTTCTACTTAAAGCAATATCAGAAATGAAGACCTGACGTGGATAGGCCCATCGGCACTGCTTCAGAGAACTGCTGGCTGATCTCCAGCAAAAAACCTAAAATAAAGACAAATCACATTGAAATATAAAGCAATGTAGCATCTGAACCAAAACCTGAAATCGAGAGACAAAACTGTCAAAATACAAGCTCTAATTGGTAAGTTTCAATGTTCGTTATTCCACAGAAAAAGACAGATAGATACTATAAAAGTCAAAATGATTTTAAAGAACTAAGTCTTTCGGAAAAGTACATTAAGCAAACATGAAGCATTAAAAATTATTTCAAAGACACTCCTTTTAAGGAGAAGCAATTTTCAGTGTTATGAAATACAACAGTAAAGAAAAACAAAACCTTAAAGCTAAAATTTAGATGTCAGGTTTGTTGTAGTGCCATATGTTTACAAGAAAAATGAATATCACCCTATGAAATTCCAAACTTTACTCTCAAGGAAAAAAAAACAGATATGCATAAATCAATTATACAACTAAAACAAAATCTTAGAGACAGAAAAATTGTAATAGAGTTCAATGGTTCCAAATGGTTCTGCAAACCTCAGAGTTCCTACGAAGTGGCCTGAGGACTATTGCTAAAGGATAAGAAGGTAAGGCGAGGTGTTAGGCTTCCAAATCCAGCTTCATCCAGAGCAGCAACTCTTTTATCTGTTTCATATATCAGTATTCCAATTACAATTTCATTTGAAAATTTAGAACCGCTGATTTTTAAAAGTCCAACTCCCTCATAATCAAGTTAAGAAAACTAAAGTACAAAATGGTATCTGCCGAGGTCACTCAAAAGTTATTTACACACACAAAAAAAGACTGATTGATTCCTTCAAAGCTTGTTTTTCTTAGTGAGACTATCTTGCAAGAAGTAAATAACCAGAAGTATAAACTATATCCATGGATATTAATATAAGTGAAAACACATCCCAAAGTCAAATGTAAGTATTTTATATTCAACTTTTACGTAATCCCATTCCTTTATTTTCTCTCATTAGTACAAATTAGAGCTCTAACTTAAACCTAATTCCCTCTATGAATATTATCAACTGCAGAATTTATGCCTGTAATGAACCACTAGGTGGAGTTTTATGATTAATTTTTCCAATTTCTAAAATGTCAAGTTTTACAGCACCTTATAAACCTCAAAAATCATTTTTTTATTTTATAACTAAAAACAATAAGCTGGGCCGGGCGTGGTGGCTCATGCCAGTAATCCTAGCACTCTGGGAGGTTGAGGTGGGGGGACCACTCAAGGTCAGGAGTTCAAGATCAGCCTGAGCAACAGTGAGACCCTTTCTCTACTAAAAATAGAAAGAAATTAGCTGGACAAACAAAAAATATATATATAGAAAAAATTATCCAGGTACAGTGGCGCATGCCTGTAGTCCCAGCTACCCAGGAGGCTGAGGCAGGAGGATTGCTTGAGCCCAGGAGTTTGAGGTTGCTGTGAGCAAGCCTGACGCCACAGCACTCTAGCCCAAACAACAGAGCAAGACGCTGTCTCAAAAAAAAAACCAAAAAGCTGTTTTTCTAGCTGCAGTGTATAAGTTTCTCAGTGTTACTAATGTATTATATTTTTAAATATGTATTTTATTTAAAGTTAAATATTTTATGTTAATATATTAAGTATACATTTAAATACATAATCTTAAAATAGATTTTTAATTAATTAGTTTAGAGAAATATATGGATATGTTACCACAGGAGCCAAAACGAGAACTCTACTTAAAAGAAATAAGAGATCTTTATATACTAGTGATCTAGAAGTAAACTATCTTTTATCCATAATGTGAATGGTTATAATCTCTAAATATAGACAATGTATACATTTGTATAAAACAAAATCTGGAAAAAATTTCCAATTATGCATCAAATTTATAATATTGCCTGCTTAATCTTTACTGTCAGAATAGTTACATATGTCTATGCAATTCAATATTATTTATCAGTACTCAGTATATATATCAAATCAACTCAACAAAATCCCTTATTTATTTTCATTTTAAGCACAATAAATGCAATTTTAAATTACAATTTAACAAATCAATACTGTGCAATATTAGATTAAGTGTTGTCACAATTTCTCTGAAATAGAAGCTCCATACTAATTAGTATTGGATGTCAAAAATAAGTAACAAAGTCAGCAGGAATCATCATTAACATAGCAATGCACTTTCACATTATCAGGTCCCCCGTAGCTATAAACTGGGAATAAGACTACTATACACCTTTACATAAATATATACTCACCCTTCCAGCTCCATCCATTGCAAGAATGCAAATATTTTGACCCCCATTTTCTTTCAAATGTTCAGGATCAACTTTGTATTCCATACAACCACCAGACACAAGAACCTTTTTCAAGTTCAGTTGTCTAGATGAAAAAAAAAAAAAATCCTAGGCTAGTATGTTCTCTAAAATACACATGCTAAACTTTAAAGAAATTACTATTCAAACAACAATCTGTAGGCAATTATTGTGAAAGGTGAAGTAAACTGATTTGGTCTTTGGTATCCCTAGTCCTTTCATTCTGTAAGTTTCCCCTACAAGGTGGCTGTTTTTTTCTATAGAAAGTCCTTTCCTCTCAAACATCTTTACCCACACAAACGTACACATTAAATACCTAAAGCCTTGCTTGCTAATGCACACATTCATTCTGGATTTTAAATAACTGGTAAGGCTATAAGCTCCTAAGTGCATTTGCATTTTAACAGAAAAGATAAGTTTTAAACCTAAAAATTAAATAGAAATGCTTAATTTCAAATATAGCCAATCTTAAATAGATACAGCTACCATGAAAGTCATCTCTATTGCTATTTAATAATTCACCCATTAGCCACACATTTCATTCTATCTGTACATCTGATGTGTACAGCATTGTGTAAAACCTGCCTGCTGCTACTCCAATGATTATCCTCCCTTTCAAATAGTTTGCCTACATTAAAGAAAAAAATACCGTTCAAAATTACTATATTGTAACTTAATCAGCAACAAAAGGATTTTCTTAGTGAAAACTTGGATATAACTCATATTTATGTGCTCTAATGTTATAAGGGCAATTTTTACAAATGTTAACTAAAAATACAACGTAAGAGCTCACAAATTACCTCAAGTTGAGGAAAAAATCTATTTAATCAGTTCTAAGAAATATGCATGTTCACATTTTCATGTTTCTATAACTGAAATATACCTACAAATGAAGTCAAAAATAACTTTCTATTTGTCATACAGTGAAGATAAGTTGTGAAAAATTGATGTTTGACATTTTCTGCTCAGGTAACTTCATGGATGGTACCTGTTTATTAAGTTACCATCTCTTTTACATCAGTAAAAGCACATTTTATTTCATTCAAATTTAAATTGCTAATCGTTTTACAAGTTAGATGGCTATTCTCTAAAATTCCTGCACATAACTATTTCTACTAGCTGAACTATACTCTTTCAGAAATCATTTGTATTGTACAAAGACCTATTTCTGTACTTGTATTTATTAGTATGATTATATAATAAAACATTAGTCTGAAAAACATCTATAAAAATGGAATACTTTGGAATGACAATAAATATGAGCAGCAAAAAACTGCTATCAAATCAGATATGGATTAATCAACTACAAAAGACTTAAAATGTAACAAAATATAGGATTCTGTATTGTATGTCACAATTGTTTTTAAGCACTTGCTCCTTAAATCATTCAAGATGAAATCACAGGTGACACATTATGAGTATGGTTTATACAAAAAGATAAGGAACTCCAACTGGCAGACCCATTCATATTTAAAACTTTATGATCCTCCCCTCTGACTTTTTGATTAGCCAACCAACTGCTAGTTTACTGCATGCTATTCTAACATGCGTTCAGATATCAAGAGGCTACACAAATATAAAAAATATACCAGTTAGATATAAACAAGAGTCTGGATAGAATATTAAAATAAGAAAATAATTACTTTTTTAAAAATAAATAAGTATGATATAAAAAAGGCTACACATAAACCAAGGATGATAGTGTCACCAACCAAGAATTGTGATTAATCTAGTTCTGTGTACCCAAAGCATAAAAAAGAAAAAAAAAACCACATAGGCCATATTGAACCATATGTTAAACATTATTTGGAAATACTATTTTACAAATTGTAAAGAAATTTTACATATATTCACTGAATCCTTGCCATAAGACAAAGATCAAAGACAAAAATCCCTGACATTTTCCGCCAATTTTTTCCATTTGACATTTACAGAGCATAACACAAAGTTGATACTCAGATTTTTGCTAGAGAAGTTAAAATACTATTAAAGTTATGTTTCTTTCACAGAAACACACACACATACTTAGAAGCCATCTTCTTGCACTGATAATCTGCAAGTAAGTAAATATCACCCCTTGTGGTAACACAGACTGTGGCTCCATCACTTGCAGCAACCAAAGACAGAGTGATGTCCTTATGATGAAGGGCAGAGACTTGACGAGGGGCAGTTACACACTTTTCTCCATTAGGATCTAGTAAATAACCTAAAAAATCACACAAATAAATCACAAAATATCTATTTTAAGAGTCCAATTTATTTTCCAGATATTTTCATCAAAGATTTCTTACCTAGTTGTCCACCATTTAGTCCCAGGGTGTAAACAGCTTCTCTAGTCCATAGAACTGTATGAAACCTGCCTGCTGCTACTCCTATGACTGTCCTTCCTTTCAGGTATTTTGCCTGCATCTATTCAAAAAGACAAATAAGACTGCGGTTTACTATATATCTATGACCTAGTACAATTTTCAAAGATCCATTAGACTAGTATGTCAGTGCTCCCTCAAGTGCTAATGGTGATTGTCACTAATCTCAGCATTCATACTGAGATCCGAACCCTTCACAGAACACAAAATGTAGCCTCTTTCAGTCTGCAGTTTTAACATACAGAAAATTGACAGGTATAAACACCAAATCATTAAAATTTTTTGGCTACTAATTTTTTTCTAACAAGCAATATGCACAATGGGCATTCTAATTCTTATTAGAAAACACGACACTTTCAAATTTGATATATCCAGGGTCTCTCAACAGTGACACTATTGAGATTCTGGGCCAGACAATTCTTGGTTGTGAGGGATTGCCTTGTGCACTACAGCATGCTTAGCAGAATCTCTGGACTCTACCCACTAGCTGTCAGTAGCACCACCACCCCCCACCAGTTTTAACAACTAAAATGTCTCCAGACCTTGCCAAATGATCCCTGAGGGTCAAAACTGGCCCCAGTTGAGAATATCGGACATGTCCGTATCAACCCAGAGCTCCAAGGGTAGCCACATGATGAGAATTAAAATGGGAGTAATATCTATTTGCCATTTCTAAAGAAGTCTATAGCACAATTAAATATCCACAAATTCCCAAGCTGGTTGCAGAAGATGGATATTCTAAAAAAGTACCAGATTGGAGACTACCCCAAATTATTTTGGGGTAATTCCTAGTAGTCATCCAGAATACAAAGGTGTTGGATTTAAATACTTAACAAAAAATATAAATATAATAATAATTTTAAATCTAAAGATTAAACCAATAAAGAAATTTCATATCTGAAATGTAAAACTTTACGATCTGAAAACACATTTGTTATAGGTGATGGTTCTAATAACATTAATTTAGAGCACCAGCCCCAGTTCTTTGTACTAGGTCTCTGAAGTAGGGGAAAGGGCACCTTGTGGTGGTAGCTGTGAGGAGGACAGAAAGTGGAAGAAAGAATGGTGCCTTTTCAACCCATGTCCTTTCACATCAACTGGTGATGACATCTGTGAAGAGGCAGATTTAATGAAACAAATAAAACTTACGTTTTTGGGTACCTCACTTGCATTAGTCTATTTTGTATTGATAAATTTTTTATTTTTTCTTAAGGAGGGCCTAAAAATTATTTAAGTTTCAAACCAAAAATATCTGGACTTCTCAATGCTTATGGATACTTAAAAAAGTTGAATCTAGGACAGTTTGGTGGGTAATCTCCCAAGTGCCAAATTTCCCAAGTGCTTTCTGCTTACTCAAAACACTAATGTGTACTATGCTTAATTTCTCCTCTGGAAAATAAAGAAAATATATACCACTGAAGATGAGTTAAACAACGTAAGTAAAATAAGTAGCTTTGTCAATAAATTACATCTTTTTGTCCACATAGGTTTTATAGCAAATAGTCTCCTTATTATTTAAAAAAGAGAAGTTTACCTGTCTGGGTACATTACAACTGGAAGGTGGAGGAATAATTCCTAACTGATGAAAAATATTTAGACCAAATGTATAAACACATCCATCTTCAGTTAATACAACAGTATGATCCTTAGCAGCTGCCACTTGGGAACAATTATGACCACTCAGTCCTTCCACGAGCCTAGGGATCTACAAAGTAAAATTACCATTAGTATATTAACTATTTATACAGAAATGCAAATAGAATCAGAGGATACTATACCCAAAATGGCATGACTGATACATGGCTGTATCTATCACAGGTAAATTATACATTTCAGCAAAGAGCAGATGAGTTTAAAAAGATATGGTCACTGGTTTATGTGCAAAATATGTAAGCCCAGTAAGACATTTCAATGAAATAATTCAACAAATGATTTTTGACCCCTTACCATCTACCAAGTGCAAATTTGTCTGGTATGAATAAAGGGAGCTCTTCAAAGTAAGTATTCACTGGTATATTCGGGGGAAAAAAAAAATCAACGCTTTCCTTCAGTGGGTAACCAAACATACAATATTACATTCTTTTGAAGTCATCTGTCCTGGGTTCAAATCTTTCTTCTGCTACTTACTAGCTATTTGATCTCAATCAAATTTCTTAACTTCTCTGTACCTCATTTTCCTCATCAGAAAACAAAGCAAGCAATCTATATGATTGCTATTACTAGCATTATCATCATGCATAAAATAAGATAATAATGCCTTTACTTCACAGGGCTGTTGTGAGGCTTAAGTTAAAGTAATGATTATGTATGAAAAGCATAAACAATACCTGGAATACAATAAACCCTCAAAACTGGAAGCTATTATTATAGTTTTCCCTCCTTTTTAAAGTACATATTGAACCATATGTTAAACATTATTTGGAAAT